CAATAGGCCGAGTGAACGACAAGATTGCCAGATTGCTGCTAGAAAGTTGGTCCTCGACTGGCACACTAAACAGAGCCATGGACCTTCATCCCGCCTACCAAGCGCTCCGCAGAAGGCTAACATCGGCTCAGAACGGAGCAATAAGTCAGGCTGAGATAAGCAGGGCCGACGGCCGGCAGCCGCGAGCAGAGAGGGTGGAAACGCTCACGAGACACAAAAATGACTTGGCATAGCTCATGAAGACGCCCATGAGGGCACGAGCAATTCAAGCAGCCACAAAAAATCGATCGGTGCAATCGATTGACACATGGGCATTAGGCAAGGCTGCTGGTCGGACACATTCATCTGACGCGAACAGGAGTACAGGCACCACGCTCTGACGATGGAAGCGAGCACGCTTTTGAAACGTCAGTCAAAATACACATCGGTCCCAGAAAGCTTCTCTTCTTCTTCCTCTGCCGGGGATGACGAAAGGAATTTTTTATATGGACCTCGAATTTTCTCGTATAATAATTTATAGTATTTGTAGCACCCGACGGCCAGTGGAAGTTGCCTATCCAACAGGCACACAAAAAAATCATGCCAGCCCCTCGGGCTCGCTTTTAGCTTAGTCGCGGTCACATTTAAATATAACACATTTATGCGCATTTACTAACCTGCCTCAAAAACGCACAAAAAACGCGAATGAAACTCACTGCTTTACATTCTCTCCCGAAAGAGGATTTGTTTAGCCACAAAAGAAAACTGAAATCTTCTAGTAGCCCTTCCTGCATACGAATTAATCACGTCTGTTAACTTATTGCGTTATCCTATTAGGCGAAAGGATCTTAATGCGTTCAATTACAATCAAGCTCACACCCCTCACCGCCGCAGTACCACGTGGTTGAATATCACCGACCTAAATATTCACTGTCATTTCGTGTTTGAATCTAAACCGCCATGTTTCAATCAGTCAATTCCATGCAGTTACTGATTCCTGAAATTATTTACTTGATTAGTTACTATCCACGAACGAAACGGACAAGAAAAGGAGACCCTGGCTCCGTAGTTAGTGTTGGACTCTTGTTGAATAGTTTGTGGGTTCTAGCATCGGGTGAGGCACTACCTCACACTTCCTGGCTTATGACCTCCAATAAATCTCTAGCGTTTTGTTCGTTATGTTCATCTTCCTGTTCTGCAAACCGTGGTGAAGAGGTTTTTGGGGCTCTAGCCTGAGCAGCATGGCGGAGCGCGGCGAATGAATTTTGCAAATGATTACTGAGCGCCCATTTTCCCTTGTTAATATTTCCAATCGAAATCAGCATGGCAGTGAGCCCGTAAAACAGTGTTCAGCGCTTTAACCTCACATGGTCCACTTACTTGGGCAAGTACAAGTAAGTTGGCTGTGACTGGCCAGCGATGACTTTTAATCCAAAATAATCATTTCAGCCTCCCTCGATTTTGCAGATTATGTCATACTGCATATAGATTTCATTGTTTTATAGACGTTAATTGATCCGTTACGAGACGTATTATTAGCATACGAATACGGTCGACAATGACAGAAAAGACAGAACTAGCAATGTCTGGCCTATAGAACTCCATCAGCCAGTTAACATTTGTGGCTCGAAACCACAACTTACGTCAATCGTTGTATGCCTCTCCACCATGGGCTTGGTGTCCTGACAGTTTAGATCGGGATCACTGACACTGGTTGATGAAACTTACAGATCGACCCTGGGACTAACTTGATCTGTTCTGCCTCTGAACGTAATCTTAAGCGCCAAGCATCGAGCTTCACATTTCGCGATACTCGCAATAAACTGGCCACAAACTAATGTATATGAGCGTACATCAGCTTATTTACAAAAACGGAGAAATATATGGCAGCAATAGTCACTGCATGACTGCTAATGAACAAAAAAGCATTTAAGAATGTGCATATTGATTTATGTATAGTAAAGTAGGAGCTGTTGCATACAATTTTCCCACATGCCAATTTCCAGACTCGCTCTTGTCTGTTGGCTTATGGCAAAGACGCTGAACTACCTAAGCAAAATATAATTATGCTGCTAGTTGTATGTGGACCATCAAGAATGCCTTACATAACGCGTAAGGTGTTGCAACTTAGCATCTTTGAAGTGAAATATACATGCCCAAGATCTGTTGTTATCGTGAATTGAACAGGTTACACTGAAGGTTGAGAAGGGTGACATTGTGCATACAAATGCACCCCATCGACGTGTATTCGGACATGCGCCAAGTAGTCATGAAGTACCTTCCCCAATGCCAGCCCCTCACCTGAAAAATGGCAGTATATTAATAATATGTCAGCCGGGCAAATTCGATCGCTGTAAGCGAAATGCTCACAGCCTTGTAACTAACCTTGAATATATTGGTTAAAGGCCTCATAGTCGTTGCCTAATAAATCAGAATAAAATTATATTTAGTCAACAAATATGTCCATTTTAGGAAGCATAACTAACTGGCTTAACATTTCCTCAGTACCTAGTTGAAAGAAAAATGCAGTTACATAAAACTACTTCGAACGATAATACGGGTCGACAATGCAGAACAGCGACGGACGTGGAGTCACCAGTGACCCTAAAAACCAGGTTTAAAAAACTGCAGACTCCGTAAAAGGATCAAACCAACACATGCCGAAAGCATAGCAATCAGACAACAACACAGAGTTTTTAGGTATAGATTTGCGGCGATAGCACGAATGTCGATAGATGTATATAATTATGACTCTTCCTTTCAAAATGACAGTAACGAAAGTGAATTCACCATTGGCCCGGTGAAAACGCGTTTTTTAAACTGCGGACTCCGGAAAAAGATCAAACCAACACATCACGAGATGCTACCAGTCAGGCCATTTAAACAATATTTTGGTATAGATTTGCGGGGTGAATACCAATGCTTATAGCTATTGTATAGCTCAATAAAGGTGGGGTAGGCGTTAGCCTAGCTGCTGGCTACCTCGCGCGTCCACAGGTGACGGATAGTGGCACGGCCTTCAGGGAAGGTTAGTTGCGGAATTAGCAGGCTCCCGGGTCTGAAATTAAGCGATCCCGGATATAGCAACGAAAGTGTTACCAGGGCGCGGAGGGCTGACGTCTGGCGCGCCGACTGCCCTACAAAATGCCGCCAGTCCCAATAACGGCACTGTGACCTGGAGAGCATGAACCGCCATTAAGTAGGTGTTCTTACCATCACTGCCTTGGGTTAGGTTTTTGAGCCGAAGTGCTTGAGAAGACATCCTCTAGCAAGAATCCAAGCCGATATTGGGGACCTGCCTGAATTCAACACCCCCAAGATCGGGGGATTGCAACTGTTTCCTACTCATGTCTCTGATGATGAATCCGCGTCGGATGTACAAACGTCAGACGAATAAACGTATCGTCCCAGTGATTGAGTCTTCTTCTTCTTCTTCTCAATACCCAAGATTCCTCATGCAAAAAGTTCAACTCATAGTAATACGATCCCTGATAGGCCGTCCGCGGGAACCGACGCGCTGCGCAACTCTTGTTGTGGGATGCGGGCAAATAGTATGCAAGCTGGAATTCTCAATCGGAAACGGACTCTTTGTATCGGATACCGGAATTTTCGAA